TATATATATATATATCAATTCATATTTATATACCTGAATAAAAAGTTGTGTATATCAATGTGTGTGCGTGTATATACATGCATATGTACATGAATATATATATATATATATCCATATAAAAAAGTAAATAAGAAATATTTAACATATGCATGTATGTATGTCTAAATCTTGTGGTCGTACATATTTGTTTTATGTGTACATATGTAAATGCCATGTAGCGGTGTATTTCATCTATATCATACACTTACCACTGTCGAAGAAGATGCCAGGCACAGCCCTCTGTGTCAGTGAGACATTGTATTGTCTCGGCTCAATTAGGTACGAGAGTTGAGTTCCAGGCACTTGGGATGGCTTATGGGCTGTCACACAGAAAAATCGGTTGAATAGCCAAAGGGTTCCAACCTGATGTTTCAAAGAAGTGAACTCTATGTTAGAAGTATCCATGTACACCGTAAGCATATAAACACATATATAAACCCACTACATATGTACATTACTACACATACATATGAGAAAAAATAAAATCCTAGCTTATATTATTGTGTCCGGATTCTCACACAGATCACAAGTCTAAAGAGCACGAACGACCGCCATTCGATAACAGATAGGCATGTATAACCCCCTCAGAAATATAACACATACATACATACATGAATACTCATACACGCACAAGAGTCTTGCGCGCACGCCATAAAGCAGACTGTGTGCAACGCATCGTATCTAAATGTCTGTAATATATAAACGTTTGTTAATAGTCCAGACTTAGGTATTTACATTCACATCACTATATGCATATTTGAAACACGAATGTATATCCATTCATATATAAACCTGTAAACCACACAGAAGACTTTATGCAATGAAGGGTACTTACATCACTTCGATCCGGGAAGTGCACGTTATAGCTCTCTATCAGTCTGTACGGCAGGTCCGGTTTTGTCGCGGGGTTCTGTGTTTAAAAATACGCAGAGCTTTATGCGGCTTTTGATATGACAGCTTTTGATAGGATGCGACACTCAACAAATGAGTGCATTTTCATACATTGGTAGAATTACGTATTCGCACATAGATATTTAAATTATGTGGATACGGAGGCAATACACTGAGAATAAAAAAAAGACATTTGCTATACATACTGGAAATCAAAGTTCATCATTTCATCTTAAATCATACCGGGGGATAGGGCGTAGGCAAACAAGGTAGACTGCGTCTGGCGCGTTGTTCGTAGATGCTATTGAGTGTGTTGGCGTGTGTTTCCACGTACTTGTTGAGTGCCTCCATCATCGGGTTCATTGATTTGGTGAACGTCATGCCCTTTGTATCCATACTCGCCCAGATCTGCGATGGTTGGTGTTTGTGTGCGTAATATTATATATATATAGTTTACTCTGTGAGTGTCACAATAAACTGTAGCGTATATACACACATACACACACATACACTTACGAGTGCGCATGCATTATTTCACACACACTGTAGCGTATACACACACATACACACACATACACTTACGCGTGTGCCTGCATTATTTCACACTCACTGAAGCGTATATACACACATACACACACATCCACATACGCGTGTACATGTATTGTTTCAGACTAACTGTAGCATATATACACACATACACACATACACTCACGCGTGCGCATATAGTATTTCACACTCACTGTAGCGTGTACACACTCATACACACACATACACTTACGCGTGCGCATATATTATTTCACACACACGCATAGCCGCCCATACGTTGCTCAGCAGTTCTCGACACTGCACCACACACTCTCAAAGCGCGGCTATGCTCAGATATTCGTCCATACTCAAGTGGCCCGTGGGTGGAATGCTCTCACTTACCTATTCACACAAAACACAGACGGACACAAACACGCATATGTACACACGCACACGCATACGAACACAGACACATATATGAATACATGCACATACGTACTACATCTCTCACCCACACCCTCAAAGCCCTCGTACCCGTAATTGCATATTCGGTGAGATTCATCAAACCATCATCTGGAAGTTCACAAAGCACACTCCCACCCCCACCCACAAACGCACACATGGCATACACACCTTCATTCGTGTCCATACCACCTATACCCGTTTCACACCCACACCCCACACCACTCACCCGCGCATTACTCAGGAGATCTCGACACTGCACCACACACTCGAACAGTGTGTCTAAACTCAGCCGCTCGTCAGTCTGGCGGTGTCCCTTCTGTGTGCCCTGTGACGCCGGGCGACTACTGTCACACTGTGTGTGTGTGTGTGTGTGTGTATGTATGTCAGCGAACGCCAGAGCGTCTTCGTACTGGGTGTGTGTACCAGCCTTGTCGCCATCTCCAGAGGGGGTATATGGCGTTATTGGGGGTGTTTTATCTCTGCCCCTGCTCTTCTCCTCATCCGTACCCACACGTGTGGTATGAGTGGTGTGGGTGGGTTGGTGTATCTGCATAATGGGTGTGTGTGGCAAGGCAATGGCCATCTCCGCGTTCTGGACCCGTACCGCGGAGGCTGTGCGTGCGTTCACATACCTGCGTTAAACGAGGGTTGTGTGCATGCATTGCGAGAGGTGAGTGATATGCGATACTTGAGTGCACATAAACACGAGGCGTATGTAGTCGGACCCGTGTCGGTTCGGGTGGTAAAGGTGACTATGAGTGTGCGTGTATGAGGCGTATGTAGTCGGACCCGTGTCGGTTCGGGTGGTAAAGGTGACTATGAGTGTGCGTGTATGTACACATGCACAGTATGCTTGCAGTTGTAGTGGTGTCGTGACGGATGATGTCCGTATGAGTGTGCGTGCGTGTGTTTGTGTATGCACCTATACACGATTTTTATGTGAATGTATGAATATGTATATGCGATGTCAACGGGGGACAGTCATTGTGTTGAAAAGACCGGAAATTATCAGTGCATATCCAATAGATTTTGGGTTTGCAATAACACAAGCGGAAAACTAATAT